TACTCCAATCAAGATGTGTTGATGAAAATGTATTTGGATATGCATGACCGATCATATCAATATTTTATCGAGAACAAGGAATCTCAAAAACTGTTTATCCGTACCATTGAAAATTTTTTGTGACGAACCCATGGAAGATAAAAGCGGCTTGGTTTCCAGATCAACTAAATCTTCAGACTGGCTTTGTCTTTAATTGGAAGAATATATATGATGTACTCCAAAATAAAATGGCTTATATCAATGACCAACACGCTAAAAGAGAATGGATAACACAACCATCGAAATACATAAAATATCACGAAATAATTTTGGACGTGGTACTAGCAAATTTTTACAGTTATATTTGGCTGCACTTAGTTGTTTATCAAAAAACTGGAATTAAGGCTCTACTATATCATGAAGTGTTTATAGATTTATTAACAGCGAGTAGTGTACTTCATTTTATTTATATTGAAGACCAAATACTTAACGAAGTACTAATTTTACTGAGTCAAATATATTTACCCGACGACGAGAAGATAAATGAACTTGTAAACATATTATCAGAGGAAGTAAATCGTATTTTGAAAAATGCAATATATGATAAACAAAAGGGTATCATTTTTTATTTTATAAAAAAAACTAAATTTGTATTCAAAAGATGAAAAAAAAACATAATGAACGAATTGAATTATATAAACTATATACTATACTTCAAAATAACTCAATTAATTTGAGAAAAGGTGTGTAAAAACTGATCAAAACTTTTTAATTAATCTACTTCTTGGTAAAATTGATTCACCCCGTGTCCTTGAACTTATGTTATGGCCTAAGGGTCACCCAGGATCATACCATGTATCATAAGACATATAATACCTCTTCATTTCGTTCTAATTATTAATGAATGATCCCATAATTAAATCTATGCGTTCCTTAAATTACAATAATTTTGATTTCTTGCCTTAAATCTTATTTTGTATACATTTAAATTGTTGTATTATTGTTTTAATTATTAGCTCTTGTAAAAACCGACTGACCGTAATATAAATATACCAATAAAAATATTAGATTGAAGCTGGAGAATTGTGAACAGATTATCGCAATGATCTAAATTAATAATTATAAAAAAACACATGTTTAAGCTTTCTATAACTTGTAAATGCTGACAGCATAATGAAAATCATTTGATTTTGATATTCATGTATGAACATCCAAAGAAAGTTTTTTTAGGAAAAAAAAATTTAACATCTTCGGACAATTGGAAATGTTAAATGAAATGTTTGGACTAAAACTTAAACGCCAAGGAATTTGTATAATTGTGGTAAGGCTACATTATACATTCCCAAAAATTGTATAATTATCTTTGTAATATAAACAAATATCAGCTGATGACATAACATATAAAGTATTTGTTTGTTTTTATTATCATCATCGTCATCATTAACGGGCATTAAGGCTCAACGCTGCCATCATAAGATGATACCTAATATAAAATTACAAAATATAGCTTAAAGTACCCGTATATTTCATAATACTGTTATATTCTTTATATACAGTATTTAAAAATATTTAAGTACTTTGCGCTTTCTAAATAAATCACATATTATTAGCACATATTATATGGCAATTGTATAGCTTTTATTCCAGCCTATTTCACTTAATTCCATAATTTTCAAAACTTGTTTTTGACAAGTCATATATTACTATACTTTTTTTTTTATCCGAAAATTTTAACCGAGTAGAAGAATATTATTTTCTAAGGTGTAACAGAACTGTTTAACCAGAGGTCCAAATTTACGTTTTCAATTGATAGTGTATAAGGTTTTTATTTTGTACTCTAAATTTTCGTTATATTAAACGCGCTAAAATGCACAACAAAGAGCGTAAACAACACACAGCTATCGACAAAATAGTTTTTTTTATTTTTCAAGAAAAGTTTTAGGATATTAGATTTGAAAATTTTACTGAAGGTGTCTGGAAGATGTAGAGTGGTAAAATTTTCTCAAAATTCTGTAAACAAACTTTTTTTTCTCAGTAAAAAGCCATAAAAAAAGGGTGAGGAGGAAATTACTTTTTGACCATGGTCAATTTCTAAAATGTTATTTGTTAGTAAATCAACAGTCAACGGGTACATTAAAATATTTTTATCATGTTGTTATTTACGATTTAACAACGGCTATATAATATTATTATAGACAGACCAACAACCCTAATAGTATCAAAGTGTTTTGGTTACAAATATTGTAACAACATATTATTTCATATTTCAATAACATTGCCTTGATAATATAAATGTAAAAGCTGAATTAATAAAAATTAATTGCAGACCAATAATAGCATAATTAATAAAAAATAAATAACTACCCAAGGGTAGTTATCCAAGGATAAATAATGGGTGTAGCAAATATTAAACACAAAATGTTAGTCATTAATCATTTTTATAAAACAATAAATAATAAAACAAAAACTATGATTTTCGTTTTCATAAAAATGTATTTTATTTATATCCATATTGCTGTAATTGGTCATAGAGCTCTTAAAATCTCTATATCCGGTCATTAATAATTTTACTTTTTTTTTCCCATCTTGATCCTTTTGAAAATATTGTATGGTTTTATCATTGATACTACCTTTCTTGATAATTTTATATTTACTTTCTTACACGGAAGAGTATTTAACACATGATTTAAGTTGTGTTATTTGTTGAAATAGGAAGAAAACATATTTGGACGTGATGTTTTGTATGCTTGTTCAAACAGTTACCTGTTGGTCATACACCATTGTGCTAAATAAGAAATACATACAAAACAAAAACCACATATCATGTAACGTTGACCTGGTTATACTATTTGAAGTACAGTTTTATTTACTCTCTTATCCGGAAACGTTTTGCAAACACTTTTTAAGTTGTGTTATTTATTGAAATAAGAATAAAACGCTGATATCTACAAATTCGCATCGAAACGATTTTTTGAATGTGATTATTTTATAGGAACTTTGTCTAATTGCGAGAGTTAGTTTTCACCATTATGACACTTCAATTGAGCGTGATTCTTTTAATACTTAAGATCATTTTCTATTTATCAACGAATGTTAATGGCCAGGTCGATGAAAAAGACGTTGAAGTGTCATTACAAAGTAGATATAAATTGAATCATAAAATATTACACGACACGGTTGTACGCAGACCAACAGCTACCGAAATAACCAATGCGATATCAGATTCAAAACTTTTTCAAGAAATTCAAGTAAACAAAAATATACAATAGAGAACCCCTTTTAATTTCCCGAGTAATATTCGACATTACCGCACAGTGAACTGAGAATGAAATCTAGGTGGCAAAAGTAGGCTATAAAAAATGTTCAACTTTATTTTTCTAGGGTCTCAATAGTATAAGACTACAAGTATAAATATACAATTTCAACTCAATAACATTTGTGATTGTTGTATGTAATTTAACAATAAATTGTTATCTTTTTTTATATATATATCAATGACCAAAAAAAATTATGCAGTTTTAGCATTTTTATTTTCAAAATAACAGAAATAACAAAATTTGCCCAAATCACTAAGTTATGACTCCAGTTACGTCCAAAAATTTATTTTGTGAATATTTTTTTAGTCTATTTTTTCCACCTAAATTTCATTCTCTGAAGGTTAATCGCGAATTTGCCAATATAGTTTAAAATTGGTCATACTACAAAAACTATATTATATTTATTTGTTTATATTTATACCGTCAAAACAAGAAAACCAAATAAACTTAAGCATTTAGCCCACTCTTATGGATCCATCAATCTTTTAACAGCAAATGGTAAATTATTTTAGATTAATTTTTGCGGACCAGCGATGCTATAGGTTTTACAATGACCAGATCTCTTTTGTGTCTGTGTTCACTGTAACTTTTTAAAGACCAACTCTTTCAAGTAAGAACTCTAAAAAAAATCACAAATTTCATCTAGTTAGTACTTATGGGGGGGGGGAGTTGAAAGAGTTCATCTCTTCAATCTTTACATTAAAAGTACAAAAAAATATTGAATAATTTCGAAAAATAGGGCCGGATCAAGTTGAAATTTACAAGGAAATATAGTTAGAATGACTCTATTGTTATTATTATTACAACAATGCCATTATCAGATAATAATAATTAAAGTGACTTAACAATAAATTGTTTTCTTTTTTTTTATATTTCAATGACAAATTAACCCTGCATTAGTCGCGCGGTGTAATATCACATGAGAAGTCACGCGTCTACATATGTAGAACAATTACAATTTTGCTAATTAAAATGTATTATTGCTACCTAAATTAATGATTTGACCACATCATTCAATTCTCATATATATTTTGTATCATAGTCGTACAATATTAATTAATTTAATACATATAAAAGGAATTGTAACAATTTAAAGGAGAAAAAATAAAACAATATTATTAAAATATATATTTATAAGTATAAATACATATATATATATATATAATATATATTTATTATGTATATGTACCTATATATAATATAATATAGTGTATAAAACATCAATGTATAAAAATTATGTACCTGAGTAGTCGCGTAATCTACAATAGTAGAACAAATTTAAGTTCTGTGTTTCAACCTGAACAACGTAAATTTAAAAAATCCTCGTTCAATATAAAAAATTAGATTCACTACTAAACTAATTTGAATCAGTTCATCTAAACAACTGAACATTCATACGGGTAAAATGTTTGGTAAAAAGTAAAATACGCTTAATTGCTATCAAAGGCCATAGGATAAATAAAATTAAAAAAAAATGTTTATACTCGAAAATTAATATATATTTAATGTTCTCAAGTCGAAAGTTTGCAACAGTTCTTCTCTATTGGAAAGTATCCGAGTAGTTTTATCCAATTGATGAACACGTATAAGACATTGAGTCCTAACCCCATTAAATTAACTGACGAAGAAATTACAATGCTGACTAATGAATAGGACCACGATTCGCTAAACAAGAGAATTGTGACACAAGTGAAATTTTACCGCATGATTCAAGAAATACAGTGCATGAATTATGTACTTCTAAGGTTCGTGTTACCAAAAGTCAAAGATGGTGGTTTGAAAGGCGTTTCCGATTTCATGTACTATATGATAGAAATGTCGTACAAAGGGAAATTTGTAGTGACCACTTGGCTTTGGGAGCTGCATATAAAACTCTTAGGACTACAACAGAATATGTTGGAACCCCAAACGTTCTTAGAAACACACTTAACAAAGATAAACGAAATCCTACAGAAGTCGATAACGTTGTGTCGAGATAATAACTATTTAAAGGAAAAGTTTGACTACTCCAATCAAGATGTGCTGATGAAAATGTATTTGGAAATTCATGACCGATCATATGAATATTTCATCGAGAACAAGGAAGCTCGTACGCTGTTTATCCGTACTACCGACAATTTTTTTTTGTCAAACACATGGAAGTTAGACGTGGTTTGGTTTCCAGATAACTCTGGCTTCGTCTTTGATTGGAAGAATATATATTTTAAACTCGAAAATGAAATGTCTTATATCGACGACCATTATATTAAAGGAGATTGGATAACACAACCGTCGAAATACATAAAATATCACGAAATAATTTTGGACGTGGTACTAGCAAATTTTTACAGTTATATTTGGCTGCACTTAGTTGTTTATCAAAAAACTGGAATTAAGGCTCTACTATATCATGAAGTGTTTATAGATTTATTAACAGCGAGTAGTATACTTCGTTTTGTTTATATTGAAGACCAAATACTTAACGAAGTACTAATTTTACTGAGTCAAATATATTTACCCGACGACGAGAAGATAAATGAACTTGTAAACATATTATCAGAGGAAGTAAATCGTATTTTGAAAAATGTTTCCGGTCCAAATTATCCACGATTTAGCAAGGCCATAATTCATGAAGCATTCGTTAATAAAAAAAGTGAAAACGAAGATTCTGAATTTCTTAAGTACCGCGCTATGAGGTTGAACAATTCGTTGAGGAGTCTAGAGAAATATTGAGTGGATTAAATTTAAGTCTTCTATCATTTTACATAAACGGCACCAAAACCGTTGACTTTTTTTTCCCGAATATATTATAAAGATATTTTTTAATGTTACCTGTAAAATTAAAAAAATATATACATATTTTATTATAATATATTAACCATTTACTAAATTTAATATGCCGCTAACCTAAGGGAATTAGTGTACGCTTAATTTGATTCATAATAAAGAATTTTGTTGCATTTAGCTGATGTCTATATAAATTCATATAAATAGTATCAAATTTCTAATCGTTGTAATAGTTAGAAATTTAACATTACAACAATTGTATGTAGATCTATGCAGATATATACTATTAAGTTATGATACTTAAGTACCACTTTTAGGTTTTAGTTTAATTTTTTTTACTTAAGTTTATTTGGCTGAGTATGTTGAAAGCTGATGTTAAATTCGCAATAACCTACCTCAAAAACCAACAATTTGGCCACTTTTAAAGTCTTTTACAAAAAAAAGTTTTAGCTTCTATGCAAGGCAGAATATAAACAAATTATAAGCATCAAAGCGTTTATTTGAAAGTGATTTTATCCAAGAGGACTAGTACAGTAGAGTATAGTTATAATGGAATTTTTTTATTAAAACATTCGTGGTTGCATTTTTTTCACTTCAGCGCATTTACTATTGTAACAAAAGTGATAATAACATTACCGGGTAACACAGCTAGTTAAACAATAAAAACACATATTTTGAGTTTGTAGCTGATAACCGAAGAAATCAAAACAACATTTTCAACTTATAAAGTTATCAGTAGTGTTCATCACTCGGCTGGTCTCGTGTTTACTGCGTACTCAGTGGTTGTCCATCACCATCGTTATCAATGGCATATTATGATTAAAGTATATTATTAGGAGCACAAAACAGAAGGCAATAATATTATTTATTTTTAGTACCTAAGTAACGTCGGGCAATGATAACAGCTAGTGTCATTCCGCGTTGAATCCCAAACGTTTCAAAATAGCTGTGTTTTGTATATGGCCGATGCGCCGCGTCCAACGAATCTGTGACGTCACGCGTGGTTTTTAAAAGCTTGTAACTAGTGAACGGAGATGTGTTGAAACTATTGTTAGTAATATCATTATTTTCTGGGTATTTTATACAATTTTTTAACATAAAAATTAAAAAACTTTTTTTTAGTTGTGTGGTCCTTTAATTTTATTTATTTTTTGTCACGCCTATGGCATAAGCTAATATAATTTATTAGAACACCATTTATCCGATCGCCATGAAACTTTGGGAAGTTGTTGAGTACACTCCCGCGTACCTAACTGGCATAGTACTTTTCGAAAATTTCACCCCTAAAAGTGGTCTGAAACACGAACTTTCTACTTTTAATACGAAATATTTTTCGTAACCATGGTAACCACGGTACTCGAGCGAATGGTAAGTGATGATTAAAGGAACAGACCGGTTCTATGTACCACGATTCTGAACAACTTTTTAACTGTTGGAATAGGATCTGGGACTGGGACTCCGGCCCTTGAGTAAGAGGGGGATATAATAACCGAAAAAAGTGTCACAAAAACGCCGTCACTCTGTTATCTGATAAGAGATAAGGGATTAGAGATGAGGGATGAAAGTGGGGGAATTGGAATTATTTAATTGAGCCCTAGCAAATTAAATCCCGGACAACGCCGGATCCGGATAGCTTGTATATAATGCAATAAACATTAAATAGCAAGTGAAAATAAATGTAAAGCCAATTTTTTTCATTTTTTAATAATTACTACTTACGAAAAATTATTTCTTATACGAATAAAACAACGGAATTTACGGAAAATTGTTATCAGTATTCACACGATGGCGGATGGACGGCACCGTGTCTTCTTCACACTTAAAAATAATAGATATCAATCACCGTACAAGTACAACAGAAAAAGCGAATATATTATTTAATATAACGTGTCTAACGCAAACGACCGATAAATGATAATTGATAAAGGCACGTGCGCTGCAATCAGTCTCACGACGGCGGCAAACCTTGATTAGATTATTTCCTTTTCCATATTGTGAGAGAATAGTGTATAATGTATAATTTTCTTTTCCAAGTTCAAATCTAGAGTACTAAGATAGCCGCTTACCATTTTATAATATATGACTATACAATACCATAAATGTTTCATAAGTTTTTAATAGAAAAAGTATCGTAAAGTATCCCAAATCACAATTACAATCTGGTTGCTAATGTAATTTTTCTGTATTTTCAGATTTGATCGTGGATAGCTTTATAGTGATATTAATAGCTGATTTAGTAAAAATGGTCTGGTGAATAAACAGTTATTAGAAAAAACAACCAGATAACATTGTATCTAACCACACATTATTTATTTGACATTATTTATTGATTTATAATATTAAGATAAGACTATTAGGTTATTGGATAAACTATGATTAATAAAAAGAGACTGTTTAACATGTAAGAAAATATATAGAAAATCAGAATTTACATAACCTGAAAACCGTATACATACCTTACATTATGTGTAACACATTTCAATAAAATTAACAGAAATTTAAATTAAAAAAAAAAACACTATGCAATTAATTATTTACCTTTGATTTAGAATAACGAATAAATGAATCAATTACATCAAAATCAATACCTTCAAATGAATGTTTTACAAATCTCCTAAATGTAAACAAACTTAATTCACTCTCTAATATATTAACATCATACTCCCAAAAGTAATTCATAGCATTTAACTTGCTCTTCCTTTCTTTTAAATAATATTTGGTAAACTTGTCAGTAGAAAAGATATCATTGCTAAGTTGAAAACAATTCGTATTTATTTTTTTTAGTTGTGCTAAAATGGTGTTTTCAAGCTCTTCGTTTGTTCTTAAATCGGCCAACTCCAGTACAGATGATTCATCAAAAAGTTTCGCAATAATATCTAATTCATCATCTTCTTCCAAATTTAAAATCTCTATAGTTTCATTAAAATATGCATTCATCTTCTCGCTGGACTTCTTTATTTGACGGAGAGCATTGTCAGGCGTCAACCATGTTCCAGAATTTATACGTTTAGCAATTTCAAATACGTATTTCCAAGAGTTGTAATACATAACATACTTCATAACGTTCATGAAAAACCCTTGACATTGAGCAACGTCATCGGTCAGTGCCTTATAAGATTCGAAGTTAAGATTCCTGGAGCACGTAACTGTTAGTAGATTGCGTGCACGTTTTCGTTCCGGTACATTGGTGATTTCAGCAAAGTCTGTCAATAAACTTTTTAAAACATCGTCATCCATACAATGTATCAACCGCAAATGATTAAAATCGAAGTACCGCCTACAATTATTGTCGATTTTCATACTTTCAATTATTCCGGCGGTTCTAGTGTTGATCGTGTCCTTGAGTTTGGCCACCGAGTCTTTGATTACCACGGGCGATATTATAATTGGATTATCGCGGATTTCTTCCGGAGATTTATAATATTCAGAATTATCGTACTGATCGTTATACGCGTTATTATCATTTGCAACATTGCAATATTGTCGAGTGAATTGTGCGAGCTGGGCGTAAACGTTATCGTGGTCGAGCAATAAACGGATTCGCGTATCATCGTTGTATAATAAACGTTTGTTGACTAGCGATTTCAAACTGATCGAATACGTGTACATGAGCCAAAAAAGGTCTACATATATCAAACCGAAATTGTACAAAACGTTTAACATATCGACCACTTGGTCTTCGAATACAAACAAGGGATAATATTCTTCGGAAATTAGTGCATTTGACTCATCCTTAACTTTCGCGTTCAATAGTGGTCTGATCAAATTCAAGTAATGACTACAGTTAAACAAATAACTACACGCGAGATTTTCGTAAACCTCATCAATCGCATTTTGTATTGAAACTTTCTTCAGTTCATCGTACCTTTTTAATGATTTTTTCTTAGAGTATCCCGTATCGATGTTGCATAATTTTTTATAGTGACTATTTGTATGGTTTTCTGCATATTTTTGACGGACACAAGAATCGCCGTGTTGCCAAAAATCCACTGTTAATGCAATCAGCAATACTAACGACCACGAAAACGACATGACCTCGTTTGCACTTAAAATAATTTTGCACTGCCGTTGTAATATGATAAAACTAGTTGAAAGGGAGTCGACATACAGGAGTTGTGGTTTCGACAGCACTAGAAATAATTGTATTGTATTTTTCAAGTTCTTCGGTGAAAACAAATTCACAACATATTTTTGTATTTGTTTTTGTTCAGTTTACTTACAGTATACTATTTTTTATGTATTATAGGACTAGTTTAAATAATACTTTATGGGTTATGCAAAAATAACAATAACAACCACATGTTTTTCGATAATCGTGTTGCCTTTTTTTTTTAACGCCGATATAACGACAAAATATCACAGGGAGATCTTTTTATCGTGAACTTCTCAATATCTTATAGGGTTTAATTAGAAATATAATTTTTTTTTCATATCGTTTTTGTAGAGTGAGATCTGAAATAGTATATTTTCGGTTGACTATTTCATACATAATATTAGTATCACTATTTTGTTTAACAATAACTTCTAAGTTGATAATGAATATTATTATTGTCAGTACTCCACTGTACTGACTGATGTTTTTCCAATTTTTTTAAATTATATGTTGTTGAGTTGATAGCGTTGATCAGACTTTACCGTGCTATAAAATTATATAGGCCTTGTCTTAGTTAGTTAGTCTTACGGACTAAACGCCTTATAGTAGAACTTCTCAACTCTAAAAAAAAGAACAAAATGTTAGCGGTGGTTTGCGCCTTTTTTGAAATTGTTAATTTCGTAAATTGATAAAACGCGACTCACAATATTGGGAAATGTAGTTTTATCTGGTTAATTTATATCTGTCGAGTAGAAAAACAATAGTGCTTGGTATTTCCTCGTTTAAACATGAAAATTGAAGTTTTGACGATATTAAAATTTATTATGGTGTACGTTTTGCTAACATTATTTAAAAAAAAGTAGTCATTACTTAAAAGTCCCAAAGTCAGTCTCTAAATTTGACTATTATTCCGTAATAAAACAGATTTAAAATAAATATAAACGCTTGAGTAGTAAAAAAAAATTAGTTAAGAGTATAATAAAAAAACGGAAGAGACCTCTTGGGGTGGCTTTATGGGTAGTATTGAAAAATGTAGCAAAAATACCCGGGGAGTCATTTGTTTAAATCATCTTTTTATATTATAAAAAAAGACTGTACTTTTACGGTGTTCGATATTTCGGTAATAGAATAAAATTATTAAAACAATCTCTTTCCTGGCAAATAGTTAGGTAAAAACACCACTGGCTAAAGGTAGGGACCGTTTCAGTACCAAATATTAAATACAAAATTGTTTTTATGAAAAAGGATGTAAACCTAAATTGATCTTAGGGCACCTGTAAAATGTCTACATCCGGTCATTAATAATTTAACTATTTGATTTTTATAATAATTTAAAACTTTTTGAAAATAATATACGGTTTTATCGTTGTTATGAATTTTCTAAATAATTTCTTATTTACTATCTTACACGGAAACGTAAAGAAAAGGTGTGTTATTTATTGAAATAAGAAAAAATCTTAATATTTTGATGTGTTGTTTTGTATGCTTGTTCAAATAGTTACCTGTTAGTCACACACCAATGCACGTAAAAGGAAGTATACCCCAAAAAAACAACATCTTCAACATCGACCTAGATGTATTAGTTTGTGTATAGTAAGTATATTTACTTTCTTACACGAAAACGTATTGAAAACACGTTTTAAGTTGTTTTATTAATTGAAATAAGAAAATAATATTTTGATATGATATTTTGCACCTATACTTATTTAAACTTGATAATGTGTTTGGTTTTATTTTATACACTGAAATTTCAAATTTCGTTGTATCGTGTAATTGTTTTTATTTATCGTTGTAACCGACGACCGTCAACCATTAACTTTAATCTACAACCGTCGACCGTATTGTTAGTTAATCTTATTTTGTGAATCGTGCAATCCGGCGATAAATGATTTATTATATATTACATAAAAGCACTATGAAAAAAAATGTAATTAATGATGAGAACTGGTGTAAGACACCAATTTTCGCGAAAAATATAAATATTTGTAGAATTTTTTTTTCCTTTGTTTGTGGTTTTAATTTTTACTTCATTTTTCAATATTTGGAATATTTTTATCTCTTACTCTTATACGTTAAACAGTTCTCACATTTGGTTTTTCTAAACCAAATGATCTATACTTGCTGATGGGCAAGTAGTCGATTAAACATTAGAAACGAATGGGGAGACCGACTTGTAGATTTCTGCAAACAATATGACTTGGTCATATTGTTAATATGTAGTAATTATATGTACATAATTTGACATTATGTAATATTATGTTTGTGGGTGTAGCAATACAATTCATCATCGCCAAATAAATATATATTCTAGGCTCCGCAATTTTTATGTAATCTACAAATCGTCATCCATCTGTAGAACCATAATGTAATAGCATAAACTGTGGAATCTCCAGTGTATAACTTGAAGTTATTTATACAATTTAAAAAATTACACTTATGTACGAATAATAAAATATTTGTTTGATGTCTTACGCATGGGAGCAATAAGTACTTAAAATACAGTTCATATTATCAATGAATTAACTTTTAGGATTAATGACTCTTAAGTTATTTAACAACTTAAGATATGACATTAATTAAAACGCGCAAGCCTAGTTATTTTATTTTCAAACACTTAAAACATCTTGTTCGATGTATAGTATTTCAGTTCACCAGTTATCGATCCGTTTTTTTAAAAGTCAAACACAATAATAATTGTCTGTGGCATTATGACTTTAGTGTCGATTGTCTCAATTTCATGAATGGATTTTTGCATTCGCTGACCGACGTCGGTCACAACGTTACGGTTTTCACTTGGTTTCCAGAGGGAAGGCGAGAAAACTACACAGAAATCGTTTTTAAGGGACCAAAGCTTTCAAACATTGATTTAGTTGAATACAAAGAGCTTCTAAACACTCCGAGAAATCTAATCAACAGTGTGGTGAACGTTAACAGGCAATCATGTGATATCATTTATTCAAATTCCAAAATAAAAACGATAATGACTGAGGGCAATACCGGTGAGTTCGATGTCATCGTCAGCGAATCGTACGCTTCGGACTGTATGTCTCACTTGGTTCGACGTCTCCGTCTACCTCTGATTTATCTCTCTCCATCACCAATAGCGAATTTCTTAGAGTCGTCGTTTCTAGGCGATGAGCCCAACCCCGCGTACGTATCGAATATTTTGTTGTCTTTCGGCTGCCCAAAGTCATTCCAACCATGATTTCTCAACTTTCTCACCTACAAATACAGCAGTTTTTTGTTATGGTATATTGAAACAAGAGCCATTAAGTCCAACCCTAGGCCGTACGACTATGTAGAACCTGTCAAACCGTCCTTGGTGTTTGTGAATAGCCATTTCATCGTTGAACCGGCAAGACCCATGCCACCCAATTTCATAGAAATCGGCGGCATTCACCTTGCCGGGCCTAAAGCAATACCAAAAGTGAGTTGATCCATTGAATATCACATAGGATTTAAGAAGAAATTTAACTTTTGTGTTTCTCAGTTTTTTTATAGAATGTGATCTCAATTTTTCACAACTTCCCCCCCCCCTACAGTTTTTTTTTACTCCAACTTTTAAAACTTAAACGGCAACGTGTATATTTTATTAACTTTTTAAATTATGAAGATTTTACTTTAAATTTTGACTGGTTGAAAACCAGTTTTGGATAACTATTATTGAAGTTATCAGAATTTATAATTTAGGACGGGGGGGGGTGGTGCGTGCAAATAAAAATAATACTACTCTCCACCCTTCCACCTGTCTTAATCTTGAAACAAATTTTTTTGTACTTTGTTCTCAATTTAAAAAGGTAATAAAATGTACACATTATCTATTAATTTGAGGAAATAAAAAATAAATGAAATTTGTTCAATCATCAAAATTTGTAAATTGTATGACTCGTTATTAAGCAGTATATTTATATTACTGTTAACCAATATTTTAAGAACTGTACAAGTTGGGGTTTAAGATATTATTTTTATAGTATATATTTATAAAATATGACAATTTGTGGAATATGTTATGTGTATAACATATCGTCGTTGGGCCAAAAAAATATTGTATGTGGAAAATCCTAATTTTTCAATAGACAAAAAAACTGATTAACAAATAATTTTTAAGACATGACAAATAAAGCATCAAATTAGTAATTACAGAGTGATTCATTTTGGGTAAGACACTAGTTTTCTCCGAAAATATTAATATTTTGAAATTTTATATCTTTATCCCTTATGCGATAAAAAGGGTCCTAGTTGACTATTTCAAATGACAACGTATGTTTTTAGTTCCATAAATTTGTTGGCAAAAAATGTTAAAATATGTTATTGTTTGAATTTTCAATTTTCATCCACCTGTTCTTATCTACTTAATTATTATTTTATGTGATGACTAGTGTAATAAAACTAATTGTCTTTGTTGAACCGAATCAAAATATTAAGAAGTATTCACAAAAATTCAAATCTTTACAAAGTTATAACAAGTGAACTAATGAATAAAAATTCAAAATTCAAACAATAACATTTTTTCAAAACTGTTGTCTATATATTTATGGAATTTAAACCATATGTTGCCATTTAAAAAAGTGATTTCGTGCCCTTTTTTTTCGTACAAGGGCGAGATACAAATTTTCACAGTATTGAAAAATGTAGTACAATGTGTACCTAAAAGTATAGAACATTTTTTTTTTTAAATGTTCATATTTTCTGAAAAAAAAATAGTGTCTTACCCAAAATGAATCATCTTGTATACTTTTGTGATTATTTATGTAATGACAGTTATAAATAGAACATAGTTTTTCAGTTATTTAGATTATATTTTAGATCTGTTGTTACATAAGAAGTATTTAAGTCATGCTATTTAGTTTTACTAAATAATTATTAGTCACATCGAACATAACATTTACTAATTTTCTATAGTCAAACTGCACCGTAATTGACAGTATTTTGTATTATTTACATAGGTACTATCCACGTATACATTAATACACAGTTTTTACATTAAATTTAACACTTATCACCCCAATGAACCAAACATGGGCCAACTATGCAGTTGATTTACCAAAGCGCTGCCAAAGCCTCACCCGACTAAATTGTTATAATTTGTATTACTTTCATAATATGAATCGCCTACAGGATATACAAGAGTTTATTGACAATTCATCAAATGGAGTTATTTACTTTACGTTCGGATCGACAGTGAAGATGTCATCATTTCCAGACCACATAAGAAACGCATTTAAACTAGCTCTTGCGCGCCTCCCCCAAAGGATACTGTGGAAATATGAGAGTGAAATAGAAGACAAACCGGACAACGTGATGACGAAAAAGTGGTTCCCCCAACGTGATATTCTTTGTAAGAATCAGAGAGGAAATTTACAGTGATACATTATTTGTATTATTTCATTCCGGTAAGCGAGTGAGTTGATTTTTTTTTTTTTCTAGTACACCCAAATATCAAACTGTTCATCGGGCACGGTGGAATATCTGGCGTGTTTGAAGCCGTCGATGCTGGAGTTCCGGTGTTAGGATTTCCTCTTGTCTACGACCAACCGAGAAACATTGCTAATCTCGTCGACGCCGGAATGGCCATTTCACTCGATGTGACGACCGTCACCGAAACTCAGATATTCGAATCGGTTAATAAATTAATTAACAATGAAACGTAAGAGCCTCGGTCAATAGTATTACGTTTTAACATAGAAATATTGAATTATGGAGCAATACACATAGGAAAATGTAACAAAAAAAAAAATAATGTTTACGGACAATGAGTATGGTGAGTAAAGAATAACACACGAACAGCTAACTTTTTCATAGTACAGGGTCAGAATTTTATTTAATCTAAATTCATATTTGTATTATGTCATTTCTTATCCACAATGTGTAATTTTTTTTTTAGAAAATGTCTTCATTAGATTGAATATTTACATCTATACAAAACATATGCACAACAATAAATGGGTAAACAGTAGAAAAAAAAAATAGTATAGCTTGAACAACATGCAGTAGGGAGGCACCCAATGGAGCTACCTACTTTGAATTTTGAGTTAGTTTATCTAATATTTGTTTTTTGTTTTTTATAATTTATAGAAGCTCTTTACACCATTTCCTTTGTAATCTTCTTGGCGAATTATCAGTGACATGATTAGAATAAAGATAGCGTATATTAGGGTTGGGGGGAGAGATGAATTTATTATGAAGTTTTTGGTAGGCAGTTTTGGCGATATTGTTTACATAACTGATTTGGAGATCAGAATGAAGAGTTTTATTAGAAACATACCAAGGGGAATTCGTGAGTGTGCGTAGGCAAATTGATTGAAACGATTGGATTTTTCGGATGTTAGATGGAGCGGCACAGCCCCAGATTTGGATACCGTAATACCATAGTGGAAAGAGAAGAGTTTTGTAGATGAGTGTTTTGAGTTTAAGATTAAGTTTGGAACGTAAGAGAGGGCGAAGAAGATAAAGTCTGGTGTTTAATTGTTTTCTTTTTTCAGCTATATGATCTTTCCAAGTTAGGCGTTTGTCGAAAATGAGGCCTAAGTATTTTACTTGGTTAGTTTGGGGGAGTAGAGTGTTGTAGAGATAATATGTTATTACAATATTATACATATCGACAAAACTGGTTTATCATGGATCAATATTAGAACACGTTCGTATAGTTATTATGTGGGAAGATTTTTTTTTATTTTAGTAAAAATTACAATCCGTACAAGATATACAATAAGCATTTGTTCGATCATTTTTATATACACATGACTGAAAAAAAAACGTGAAGAAACCTATCCGCCTGGATCTTTTTAGGTGGCGAGGAGGGATATCTGGATCACGTGGGAGGAAAGATTCTCAATAAGAGGGTTTGGATGATCATTTAAGAGACGGTTGTGAAAGTGTTTACATCTAGAGATAGCAGATTGTTTTCCAGTAAGAAGGCCAAGATCTTTATGAATCGTTTAGTTTGATATAAAAGATGGGGCGTTGAGAACTCGGCGAAGGCACTTAGATTGAAGAACTTGAATTTTGTTAATGTTTGACTTTTTGCCGCACCCTATACCATACGACCACATTGGTTTAGTAAAGCTTTTGTATATTAGGAGTTTAGGGAGTAGGTCATTTTTGGCGTTTTAGGTGGATAAATCATAAATAATAGGTACTCGTTGGAATGAAATGTTATGGATAGACATAATTTACCAATTACTTTAGTTTATAAATTTGCAAATGAAGTTATTCAACCATGGAATTGCGAGTTCACCAAGTAGTCGGTTAGGTTAAGTTGCCTTAGTATTAGTTTTACCCTGTGTTCCACTACAAAACAAAACTTTTAATACTGTTCAAATATTTTATGAACAAAAAATATATTTTAGGCATCATGAAACTTATTTTTTTTTTTTTTTTTCTTTTATTACTCACATTTAGGTACTCGTCTAACGCTAAACTGGCTTCTAAGCGTTTCAAGGACCGCCCAATGTCACCTGCTAAAACAGCCGCTTACTGGACGGAATTTATTGTACGACATAAAGGTGCACAACATCTAAAGACAAAAGCATTTGATCTCACGTGGTATGAATACTACCTTTTAGACATACTATCTCTAATACTCGTCACAATTTCACTGATTGGCTTTATTATTTATACATGTTTAAAAGTTATATGCAAACCACTTTTATTCAAGTTTAAGTTCAAAACCGAGTAATTTATGTATTATAGGCTTATTTGTGATTTATATAGTAGATGTATTGTTTATCAAGAGTTATTTATATAACTACACCAATATTAAGAAAATATTTTCTTCATTTTTACTTACTTTAATGAAATACCACACAATTTTATAATATTTTTCAAAAGTTGTAGAGTAATAAAGTGTTAAGTTAGAAAATATGATTTAAATGTTTAATTAAATTAAATTTGTATGCATTAAAACTAATACAGTAGAAAAGCGGTAAATACTTTTTTTTTTTTGCCTTTATTAAGATACTTTTGGGTTCGAATTTCAACTGGCTTTGAAGTATAAAGTTTATTTCATAAGACAACTGACAAAAATATAATAGTTTCAACCTAAGAGGAGGGAGTAACAGGTAAGCAATCGATACCATAATTTTTTTTTGGTTAAGTGGGTAATTCTGTATTATAACGAAAAATTACCAAGATATTTTAACTTGTCGAACTTTTATATTGTATTACATTTTACTACTTAAATAATGCAAAATAATGTATATTGAATATTTATACGTCAGTAATATAAACATTGGTTTTAAGATAGACAATTTTTTTTTTATTTTTCAAGTATATTATGATTATAAGATATTTTTCGTCGAGAGCAAAGGTATTTTATTAGTAATATAGAAATGCATCTTAAGCAGATAAAATTTGCTTATTATAAATATAGATTTAGGCAAACATTTAATTTATTATATATAAACTATCTCATTATGAATAAAATCAGTAATTGAATATCTATCGAGGTCTGCCTGATGATATTAATTGGTTCGATGCATTATTAAAAAAGTGAAACACAATACTAATGTATGTTACATTCATTTTTACGGTCATATTTCTGGTATCGGGTGTTTGTTTAATAATTGTTTTTACATTTGACCAAAACGTTAAAGTTGTCAATTGGTTTCCAGAGGTTGACAGTCTGACCTCACCTCCAGATTAAATAAGTAGCCAAGATTGACTCAGACACACGCGCAGTTAGAAACATTTATCCATTGCCTTTCTAAGGGAAACAAACTGAAATATCGTAATAATTAATTATGTGTATAAATTTAAAATGTTTATGGTTTCATGTACTCTTTATTGTGATTTTGAAATGTATATGTCTTTGGCTAGGGGTAAATACGAAATTTGTTCGTGGGTGCATGATCTAGCAGTAGTAAGTGATTATACATGAGGGATAAGAGATTAGATACTCCAATTAAGCCAACAATAAATAAATAGAATTAAAACGACACACGAACACTATGGTTAAAACAAATTAAATTATTAATTAAACCCAGTGAGATAATGACCGGCTAATGATAAAAAAATTACCCAATTACATATCTGTTATCCATGTTAAAAAATTAGGGGCCTCATTTTGGTCCAAGACGAACCAATAAGTCCACTGGTCATCAGAATCCCAAAGACGCAAATTATTTGGGCGATACGTTAGTGATAATACGCTTATTATTCCTTAGAATATAGCAATTTTGTAGTATTTCTTTTTGAATACATTTTTTTACACAAACCTTAGTGTCTCCAATTATCAAAACTACAATAATTGAGTTTCTTATCCTTTGTTTAATGTACTTTAATTTATCGAAAAATATTTGAATTTTAGATTTTATTGATAAAATTTAAGGTACTTATATGTATATTATTGTAAGGTGTATGTTTTACAACGGTATATTATTTAGTTTTTATCATCGATGCGCACAAGTAGTCAAAGTAAACGAATGTAGCCAAATAACGGCTGAAAACGCTTAGTACTTTTTCTAGGGGTCTAAAAAAGGTGGACTTTTTAAACTTAAGCCCTTGATTTTCTTTTTAAATAAAGAATATTCTGTCGAAAATACAGAGCAATCTTTAGCAATTGATATTTTGATAATATTTTTGATGCTAACTACTAAAAGTACCTAATGTTAATTATGTAAAATAGTGACATTTTTCATAAACAGTCGAACAAACGGTGGCCTTAGTTGACAGTTGTTAAACTATATTTATGACGTCGGTCTTTTTTTTTTTTTCGCGATACGGCTGCTACGGTTGACGATACACATATTATATAAAATTGTGAAATGTAGTATCTACATTTTTTTTATGAAACTTACTAAGTTGTACAGTAAATCATTTGAAAATTCCCTTTATTGTAATTTAATAGATAAAAAAAAATGTAACGGGAATAAGTAAAAAAATTCAAAATGATGGAAAAACCCAAAAAGCTTTAAAATAGTCATTAGCGATTCAACATTTTATTGAACTTTTCAAATATAATTTGATCATCTCCTGAAAATATTTATGTCAATTAAATGTTTAACGATATTAACTCAGAACATATTATCACGATGTCAAACCATCATATTATCCAATAAAGGCTATTAAAAAAAAAAAAAAAACATATTATCGCATTGTTGTGTTGGTTAAACAATAATACAATTTATCTGGTGACAAATCCGATTACCATTCGAATAATGGTTTTTGAAATACCTTTGAACCTAACTGTAATGGCTTCGTTCCTATTACAGGCAGTAGTTATAAAATAATAAAATATCTATGTGCGCAAATCGTATGTAAATAGTACATCCGAATAGGACGTTTACTTTTTAATTTTGTAATTCGATTGAAAGTTTTTTTTTTTTTGTAGATCAAAGTAGGACAACGAATGATACGAATTTCGGTTATAATATATTTTATTAAATCATAACATATCCATCTTAAGTATTCTGATAATCTATGGATAATAATAATTAGGGACCCATGTATTTCCATTATCACTACCTATTTTAACGCAAACATTGACAACAATGATTTAACTATACATACATTTTTACATAGCGATAAACGACCTTGTAAGTGTAACTCGTGACAAAGGACATTTTTAACAACAGATAAAATTTAAAACATGGTTTAAGCAACAGATGCTATGTATTTTAATTCCAGTTAAATGAGCTTATCTCTGTGTAAATATTCGGTGCAACCCGGCATAATCCGACCCACCAAGTACAGGTAGAGAATAGATCTAGGGACAGACGATTGTAAGAGAGTCCAAACATAGTCATCGTGTTGATGATAAAGAATATTGTCATTCGTATGGTGCCAAAATGATATTTATTAAAAAATATAAGGAAAACAGTAAACATCAGACTTTGGTCATACGGTTGTAATTACGGCTATACGTTTTTGGGTAAAATTTTGAAAAATTTTACTCATTTTTGTTATTTTAACCATCTAATACGTCAGTAATGTTCATAACGTTTTTTTTTTCTTATTCAATATTATTTGTAAAGCAAACAGGTATGAAAATTGTGCTGGCATTTTTTTTCTTCAAAAACATGTTATTATTTTTAAACCAGACGCATTGGCAAATAACAAAGCCATTACCGTTGTGTTTATTTAAATAATAGCGAAAAACCAAAAAAACTTTGGTTCAAATGTGGTTTTTGTATCTATTACATACACACTATTGATAACAAAAATATGTTATTTTTACATTTTAACGTCTAACGTGTAAAGCGACGTGCGTCAAGGAATATTGTATATTTTCATTATTTCCAAAACCGCCAAAAACAATGAACATAGCAAATATTATTAGCAACGTTTGACAAATTTCCATTTCTTGCGAATGTTAGTTGAATGTTAACAGTGGAAATAAAAACGCACATCGAACAACCCAAGTGTTTTTCTAAAGTAAAAAAATTGTGGTACCGAGTAAACGCTTAGGCGAGAATTCGATGAACAACACTTCTAATAAAAAATCATATTTTTAAATCTTCGTTTACTTTTGAACTCGGTTGTCACTTTTAAATCACGTGCGCCGATGCTATTGGTTTTTTGCAATGATGTGAGCTTTTTTTTGAGTCTGTATACATTGTAACTTTTTAATACCGGACCAATTATTTCGTGTAGAAACTCTATAAAACACAAAATTTATCTATCTGGCATTGAGTTGGATCGATTTGAAATTAAAGTTTAAACTTTTACTGGCTCCAATTTCGAGAAAAATGGTCAGACGGAGTTGAAATTCATAAGGAATATTAACACGGTATTCTCCTATACGTCATTAGTCTCAAATTAAAAAATTTACCCATTTTCCAACCCCCCACGGGGGTTGCAAGGTGTCATTTAGCCGTAATTTTAGGACTTTTTAGTTGAAAATTTGACCAAACATTGTAATTTCGGCCCAATGGGGCTGATGCAATGGCTGGAATTATTATACTTGCTGGAATTCGGGAAAGAACATACTATGCGAACGCCTTTTTACGATATTATGTATATATCAAGTGTTTTTTTACTGAAAACTACAAAAATATTGTCAAATTTCCTAGCGTAGGTACAGTACATAGTGAAGCTGTTTATGAAACACATTTTAAATCGGTTAACGTCGTTTAAATTGTTCTACCGACTAATAATCAGTTCTGAAAACTATTACTGTGAAATTCAAATCCAAATAATTGTGTTCGAAACCCTGTTTGATAACTCGAAAGCCTAAAACATAGGTTAGATACATCACATAAGGGGTGGATGGTCCATCTCTAGAATACTTCCCTAGTAGCTCAGTGGTTCAGTGGTTACATAAAAAATGTACCATATTTTTTAAAAAACTTAAAATTTAATTTTGAAAAATGTTTTAGTATTTAGTGGTTTTTGCATGTCACTAAAAAGGATTATGATAAAAATTGAAGTGCCAAAAAAGCCAAAAACTGTTGTAGAAATTACAAGTTTAATTCCACTGAAAATATATTGATATTTAATTACGCCAACTCAAGATGGTTAGATTTAATTTTTGTAAAAATATTTGCCACTTTCTAGGTTAATGGTTTTTTTTTGTTTGTTATATCACACGATTTGTAAAAAAAAACCTTATTATTATTAATATTTATACTTATTTATATTAATTTATAAATATTCCACGAGAGCATTCAAAATAAATGGACCTCAAATAATGTAACTAGGTCGATTTAAGAGTTGTTGTTTTTGTTGAATAGTTTCTTTTTTAGTACATTGGCCTATGACTGTAACTGTTTGAATAAGCATACAAAACAACCCATCAAAATAAGTTTTCTTCTTATTTCAATAAATAACACATCTTGAAGCGTGTTTTCAATACGTTTCCGTTTAAGAAAGCGAATATACAATTATTTAGAAAATTAATGATAACGTCGTATAAGATTTTTAACAAATCTATTAATCAAATATTATCAACCGTGTGTTGCTTACACACTTTATCGTTTTTCATAAAACACTAGCGCATTTCATACAACGAAAATTCAGACATTATGGTTTGGAAACCCAAATTTGGGTCTCTAGTTAAAGAAATGTGTACACGTTAGAAAATAATAGTTCTACTCGTTAAATTTTTTCCAAAAAACAAAGCCAGTACAGTTAGGTCGTGGCGTAGTGGGCAGGTGGAGGTCATAAGTCTACAGGAATTATTATTAAAACTGAAAGTGATAAAATCATTTTTAAACAAGCACTGGGTGGATACAATTAGGGTGGATCATCTGTCTGCCAATATAATGAAATATTTTCGTTGCCTGCTTACTCACTCACACATAGCAACCTGGAAATTGACTGCGGACAAAGTGTAATTTTCCCCTTTTTTCGGGGTTTTCCTTAATAAAAAAAAAAGTTTGACCACAGATATTGTTGAGAAAATTGTATATATTATAGTTCCATTCTAGATCTTAGTTTTCTGACCTAAATCCCCAAAACGGCTTGAAAAAGTAAAATAAAGAAAAACAAATCTATCCCTTTTATTGAAAACTAAAAAAATTGATACAGTCAGAAATTAAAAGAAATTGTGTTGATTATACATGGAAGAACCCATATTTACATATATACTACTATATACTTGCACTTGATTATTTGGCTTTCTCTTTCCATAAAGTGACTTTTGTTCATATTAATGCTCAGATCTAATATTTCAATTAAAATGTATTGTATTTTGACCTTTGAATAAAAAGTACAACAACTCAATGAAATGTATAAATATTTAATGGACCAAAGTGTAAAGAATTTGTAGAACAGCCACCGAAAAATTATTCGGTTATTATGATGATTACTGTCATGGCTTCACATAGACAATGTTCAATTTGCGGATAATTTTAAAACATTTTTTATAAATTATAATCTCTACTAGGTAGGTAGTGATGGCCCTACATGGATTAAAAGCTGTATGGGAGTGGCAGTATGTTAGCGCACTCAATTTACCGGTTTGACATTCGGCAGTAATGGCCCTTGCATGGCCTACTAAACTGTCTCCGATATGTTATAGTAAATATGCAATTTAATAGTTGAAATGTTTGTTGTTTTATTCATGCTATATTTTATAAAACGTCGTTAAACAAATACGTTATTATAGTAGACTTAATATTACTTTACGCTCTTCATCCATACAAAGCCCAAATTAATAAATCATAAGAAAACAAGTACCTTATATAAACACAGGTGTCTTGAAGCTGCGTCGCTAAAAAATACATCTACTAAAATAATCGGTTATTATTCAGCATAAGAACCATTTATGTGTTGGCTTTCTTCTAAAAAATATATTATCTTTATAAGCACGAAAAAGTTTAATTAAAAATATGTTTACAAAGTATATTTTATTGTTTTGTTTAACGTATTATATTCCAAAGGTTGACTCAATGGATGAAGTGGTAATTATAGATTTTTCAACGATTCCTTATTCATATTAACAAATTATTATTATTATCTTAAAATTAATGGTATTTATTTAAATAGAGGGTTTATTGTCTATATGAGGTAGAACGTGGAGAGGTATAGTGTCCCTATAAACTCACCTCCCCGTTTCTATTACATATAACATCAGGAAACAAATAAATCTAAAACTTCAATACATATTAAATTAACTTCTTTGTTTATTTTTTATACAAACAGTTTATTATTATCTTCACAGTTATTAGTGCACCAATACCCGTGCATACCTGCATATTATGCATGTACTGTTGTGTATTATTTGCATTAGTATGTACTTCGCCAGTATAATCAGAATGTATGCAAGGTGGGAGTAGCAAACGTCTGTTTCTCGGTTTTTTTGAAATTCGAAACTCTATTATATTGTTTGACAACTCATAGCACACACTTGAACAAAGAAGTATTATTATTAAATTAAAAAAAAAAAAAATGCTATTCCCACTCCTCCCAACAAAAAATAATTTAATTTGTACTCTCTGACGGATTATTTAGGGAAAACAATAGTATTTCACAAAATAGTAAAAAATTGTTTATGAAATTGGCTAAAAAAAAAAAAACACTTATTATACTATTGCATTACGACTTTCAGGAAATAGAAATTCTATGGGACACGATAAGAGGCGAAAGTGACTTTATTAACCACGATCATTTCCGTAGTTATTTTAAAGACGAAGATCAAAGTGAACTCTTAAGCGTAATAGAGACTTATGGCCACAAGTGTACGGCAGAAAGTCAAAGTAATCTTGATTAATTTGTATTACACGTCACATTTATGTCACCCCGAAAAAATGGAATATTTTATCAAGCTGTGAAGCTATTGTTTATACAATTATGTGTTTTCATTTTGTATTTTTTGCAACTTGTCCTTTGATATGCCCTAAACCATCGAACCGAGTTCTTCATGCAGCAGGTGTATAGATATTAAAACCAATTGCTTTGCGAAGAATGCCTATTATTATATTAGAAATCGTACATGAAAGGTACATTAACGGTATTGAAAAATAGTATGTTTAAATTAAAAATAGAAAACAAAACAAAAATTTACATCATTTTCAACTTTATACTACAGCTTTTTATAACCCGAATATGCTGCTTTTTCATGGTATGGTGGATTTTAGGTAAAGGTGAAAACAGAATGGATTTAAAGGAGTTTACAAAAGCTGCGTCTGAAGGCTGCATAAACATATGTTCTAAGCAGGTGATTTGTTAATTATTGTGTTTTATTATTATTGTTTTAACACAATGATATTATGCTTAATAAATATAACTATTCAAAATTGTTTAATAATAATTTTATACGAGTTTTTAAAAAAATGTCTAGGCAATCGATGCTGTATTCAATAAAATAATCGCAAACAAAAAAAACGGAGACCATATTACCAGCCAAGACATGATTCAATATTATGGACTAACAGTTCCATTACCTCAAATCGAATATGTTATAAGCAAATACGGTAAAGAGCAAATGTTCTGTAAATAATGAGTTTTGTACTTTTATTAGAAATATTTACAACTGTAGTTTCAACATTTACGCGATCATTGAAATAATTTTAAACCTTGTTGTTTGGTCTGCGTTGTAAAACGGCTATCAGTATTAATATTGTTTTTAATATTATTTATAATAATTTGTACATAGTAATTATGTTATGTTGGTGATTTTTAGTTGTTGGACAAAAACATTTAAATTTCTCTGCACTTAGAAAGGCCATAAACACTGGTGATCTTCCAAAACCTTGGCGTGATGAAATTGCAATTCGGGTGGTATGAATTGTTTCTTTTTTGTATTATATTAGCTATTTGCATGAACACATTAAGTTCACCTATGCACATAGATACATAGTATGCACATGAAATATAATATTTTTTATCACTTTTGTGAACCCCTTCCCCACTTCCCCTTCAAATAAGCAGGGTTTAGCAAGGTATTTGACTAAAAGCATCTAATTCACAGGATCACCGTTCAAAATCCCAATATACCATTATCCCGACAAGTTGCTACCCCGACAAAAAGTCTATTGGGTATAGTTTATTTGTGGATTTATTGTCAATTATAAAAAATGTATAGAACGATTGAGTCCCAAGATGCGAAGGAACTCGACAGTTTAGCCCTGCGTTGGAGTCAACGTACTCTAAAATAATTAAAATCTTATATAACTACATCGGTGTCCGCCTGCTTCATTTGGATCTCTATCATCGCAGATTACGTAAGGCATAGCTGTTTCGAGAACTTTTTCTTCTCAAAGCTGCGCCTTTTTTGGCGATGCCCAAAATTTTAAAAACTCGATGGAGAAACATGAAAATGAGTGGAATAGGTTAGGTTAGGAGTAGATAAAGTTAGGTTACGAGTATCTACAAGGGCAAATCTTGAAAGTGCCATCTAGAAGACATACGTCACTTTTTGCGAGGAATACCAAGTTTCCCAAACTTCAGTTTTACAGACATTGTAAAAATGCAAAATTAACATATTAAAGAGTTATTATTAAAGTTGAAATTAAAGAATTAAAAAATATCGAAGAATACACGACACTAGTCCTGGTCATGTAGTACTTTTGTATTTGTATGTATTTTTCGGGATTTTGGATTTGGGGAAATGACCGTGAACCGATTCGCAGTGTCAAATTTGACGGTTTAAGGTACAATTTAATAAATTCTACAAGTCTGCCTAATTATTTAGAAATATGTATATATGAATTACCTTAGGGTGTTATAGGAAGACCAAATCCACGTTGAGATGGTAAATTATTTTTAGGACATTTTTTGGACTTTTTGAAATATTAATTTTATATTTTGTTGGCGTAAATTAGACAATAGAGTAAAAATAGTTTGTCGAGTTAGTTAAAAACAGTCTCGAATCACATATTATATTTTGTTGTCTACTATTTTCAGGAAATAGAACATCTATTTAACAAGATGAAAAATAAACAATCGGATTATGTTAGCGATGTACACATGAGTTTTTACTATGGTGGCTTTAACGACATTGAATTTCAAAACACTGCGAAAAATTACGGAACCGAACACAATTTAGAAGACGGTAAAATGTTAACGCTATAGTATTTTAGTTCTTGAATTAGGTACCACTCTAAAAGTAACATGCAAACTCATAAGTAAGAAAATCTTAAAAAAAAATAGTAAATTATGTAATTTGAATCTTAATAGGTATTTTTATTTAAATAGTTGACGAAAATATACTTTTAAGCTTGAAAACTATAAAATTGTACTGTAATAGAAAAAAAATGTATGTTTAGAGGCAATATTTGAAGATGATCAATACAGAATGAAAATTGATGATTTTCAAAGGGCCGGGTCTGATGGTTACATACCAAGATTTAGTAAAAAGGTGTGTGAAAAGTATTATGTTACTTCTAATTATATTATAATTGTGCGCACTCGCCAGTTACAATGGAGTAAAACTGGGTATTACCATTGACTATAAATATTAATAAATAGTAATATTTATAATTAATGGTATTACTACCCAACAGACTAATAAAGGCGAATAACAGTAGAGTTAAGCCTATAAATGATAATTCGATAAACGTAGTATAATGTCCATACATGTTGCTATAGATTAGCATAGATTAGATTAGGTAGATAAGATTATCAATTAATTGATTTCTTATCTACGGTGCATAATTATTGCATCCCATCTCCGTATAGTCGTCACAGTTCAATACTAGTTGCCTCCGACGATGCAACTGCATAACCAAAACATGGAAAACTTTCCCTTAAGGATCAATAACATGAAACTTTATTTGACAAAGTATTAATAGACAAATTAATACTTGAGTAGTACATTTAAAACGCATAGACTGATGGTTTGTTATTGTTATAACAATATGCACAATTATTACTATTACCATTAGCTATAGTATACTGCATATACATTGTGAAACATATACTATGTTTAAATGTTTAAAAATAAAGTACTAACTTACATATTATAAGTGTGTATGTAAAACTATAAAACTTTTCTTTGCTTAAAATGAACCGTGGGAGGGAATTTGTATACCCTTGTATAGCAACTCCTGTGTAAAATATCGGCTACATGCAATGCATAACCTAACTGATAGTTTATGACCCTAAAAGTTACGATAAGAAATGGAAGCAATTTGTATGCGTCGGTTTCCTAGAAGTAATAATAAGTTGTAAACGAAATAATGGAACATGTATTTAACTACTTAAAAAAAACTTTCAGTTGATAAACGATGAATTTAAGAAAATAACTCTAGAAACAGAGGACAGAAATAGTATTTCCTTCGAAGAACTAGTTGAATATTATAAAACAAAAATTCCTGTGACTCATATTGAATATATTATACGTAACTACGGGGAAACGCAAGGTAAATATGATTTTTAACTACTGCTTTTAACGACCGTACATTGAAGGCATACACACAATTTTCACTAGAAATATTGTAGTTTTAAACCTAACCCAACATTTACTTATAGGTGTTTTATACATACAAAATAACTTGTGTAGGTCTTAAGAAGGAAATAATTTGACCCACTATCAATAGTGCTGCTGTAACTGCATTTATTTGTAAAGTAACATTCAGCTTTCAATTACACAATAAATAATTACAAATTACGTCGTTGTCCACATTTCAACTAAAATTATTAAATACAAAATAACATATTATACATTTTTTTTTTGTTGTACTATATTATTAATAGCAATTTTAATGTAATAGTATACCTATATATTTGTACATCATGCAAGTTCAAAAATACTTAGCTCCATATTTCTTGGAAATTTTACACTTCACTAAAACATTTTAATATCTATTTTGTTTTACTTTTAGTCGTTTATAAATGTAGTTTATGAATTATGATATATTGATGTTTTTCAGATGGACAACGCCGAATGAACCTCAATGGCTTCACCAGAGCTATAAACGGAGGTTATCTTCCAAATCTGTTATGTGATGCAGTTAAGGTAGTAAATATGAGTGTTCAAAATTGTATGAGCTTTGTATTAAAAAAAAAACCCGTTTAGGCGATGTATACTTTATTTAAGGATATACTCCCAAAGGATGTGGAAAGAAACCATATTTTACTCGACGACATGGTTAAATATTATAAGACAAAAGAACCACACACAGACTTATATACACTCAGAAAAATTTAAAAAAAATTCGGACAATATCGTGGTGATTATGATTTTTAATAATGTCGCATTTGATTTTCGTCAGATTTTTTCAACAATATCTCATACACCTTTTATACGTTTTCTGCTTAGGGCTACTTCTGCCGAAAAGAACCATTGGAAAGAACATTTCGACTATCAATGGAATGGTATGTATTATGGTTTTTAATAGCTGCATCTATTCTCAAGTAAACTGTATGTATACTTGTTTAAAAAAAACATTTTAATATTTATTTTTAGTAATCCAAACTTTATATTTTGTCTTGTTTGTGATTTTTAGGTGGACAGTACATGTTAAATTTCGCGAACTTCAGAAGAAGCATGGAACAAGAAATGTGGAGTTCTTTCAGTCCTGCAGAGATGGACATTTGATCCAGCGTGGTATCCGATAAGTTATTACTTTAAGAAGAACCCACAAATTTAATCAAAACGATTAAAACGTTTCACAAATACTGTTTCAATAATTTGTCATAATAATATGCCGTCTCATACTTAATTAGACACTGTCGTTCAATTCAATAAATATATTTATATAAAGAAATATGCAATATATATATATACTAGTATTTTGTTATGCCACTCGTTGTGTATTATCACTTGTAATACCTAGTTTCATCAGTATAATATGTTACCGTAAAACTTGTTATTTAGTAAAAAAAAAAAAAAATTTATCAAAATATGAGAATAATTGTTCTAACGTGTGATTTAAATAAAAAAATGTATATGACAAATCAATACAAATGTCCAACTGCGGCAAACCTAAAAATGACACAATATTTTTGTTTGAATATACCACTTATTATGTAAACTATACTTATGTTATATGCCTACTCTAATCTGTTATCATTATCTTTATTATCACATACCATAATATCGTTTAATTTTAATTTAAGGTTCTTACAAAACATCAAAAATGTGACTTGTTAGAAATGTATTTTATGTTAAAATATGAAAGTATTTATGTATTAACTAATAAACTAAGGAATACAAACACTTATATCAACAATATTAAAAACATTTTGAAAAAAAATTGAGATCACATTGTATTAAAATTACATAATAAAAAAATTGTATTTCTTATTAAACTACAGAGGGTCCGCTATCCATAGATTCACATTTAAGCGTTTTCTTGGCCACACAACCAATCAAATATAGAGAGATGGATAAATCGGGTACGGTCAGAAGTCTCTCGAAAGTTAGCAAAGTTGGGTCAAAGCAATTGTCAAATCTGAACATGATTTTATCACAATAAAATGCTTCGATGCGAATTTGCAAATGATAAGTACGCAGCTCAGTCCAGATATTGTCGGTTTTTTTTTTGTGATGATTAAAATGTTTTGAAGTTTATTTAATAAAAATATTGATTTGCTTATAAGTTGTTGACAATAAATAAGCAATAGAAGTATTAAATAATAAATACCACACTGCAGAGATCTCTGCGTATTATTGGATACAACAAATCTAAACGTCGACTACTTTATTGTTACTTTATACAAGTGAAGAGAAAAAAAAATCAAATTTATTCTCATAGTTTATTGTCTCTTACAAGACTTAACAATTAACTCTTTGATTAGGGAAGTATTACTGAAAACTGGTCCCCCTTGTGTTCTTATGGACTGGTTAAAAAAACAAAAAAAAAAACTCTTTGATTAAGTTTTTAACTCTAACTACAGCTGAACAAGCATCGGATATTATTTAGTTATCAGTTGACAGTTTCACATCATTCAAATATTCTTACTGGAATTTAGATGTACTCAGTATTGGCTTAAGCATCTCTTAAAGATTGCAGAATGACCGAAAAAATATTTTACACCCTTCACCGCACGTCTGTTACTTCTAATGCTAATAACTCTAACACTTGTAAAAATCTAAATAGTGTAGGGCATTAAAATACTCGATAATGTAGATTGTGGGACACTTGTATACATAAAAAAGGTACAACTTGATTTTTGTAATTACAAAGAACAACCGATAAATTTACATATGTTTCTACTTGTAATAATTATTTTAGTCCTGTGATTCCCTCGCCCCCCCCCCCTATGCCCCATCACCAGTGTACTGGCTTTTCTAGTTTTGATTTTGTTTTAAAACTTTTTTAACACTCATTTTGCTGTCAAATGCCTACAGTATTACATTTGTAAAGTCACAAATCATTTGCATTTTAATACAAACAGTCAAACCAGAAGACAAATGGTACACGTAATCATTGTCTGTGTTTTTACACATGATTTTTTTTTAAATGTAATATTTTTTGTTGGATGGATATTCAAATTATACGTGTATTGGTTGCAAAAGAATAAATCCCAAGATCTGTGGGAAAAAAACCTAAAACAGAATGTCTGATTCGAGAATATTGTCAACCTATGATTTTCTTAAGACCTCATTTTATACGTTGAAAATTATAAAAAGAAATTTATTTACAAATAATTAACCAACAGTTATTTTAAATTGTTTATCTTTTTGATGGATAGACGAATGTTCAATTTCTAATACTTGGTTTAGAAAACCAGCTTAGCAGTGTCGGGAAATGGCGCAAACTGTGAAAATTTTCAACTTGCACAAAGTATCTTTAATATTTTATAATGTAGCGAACCGAATGTTTATTAAATTACACTAATTTTCTAAAAGAATTATTAGTATAGAATTATTCACCCTAATAACAGAAATACATTTTTATAAACATTATTGTTATTGGGTACAATGCCTTTGTTGAAATGTGTGTTTCTACTATTACAGATCCGTATCAAAGCAATAATTTGAGGGTAATGTTATCACATTGAGTTTTAATAATTCATATATTATATCTGTGCCCCTATAGCATACTCGTGCCTCAACCCCACTGTACTGGCTTTAACATGGATATGCCATTGGGCTGGATACAAAAAATTTAATGTTGCTATTTTCACGTGACAATATTCAAAAATATATTTTAAATATGAAGAGATAAGTGATAAAAGATTAGGGATAAGAGTTAAAAGACAAATATAAGTGATAACATATAAGAGATCACATAATATCCACGATTTAATGTTTTTCTGCAGAGCGGAGAAAATAACTAGTTTTTTTTATACTTGCAATTTGCACTATACTTTTATATCATTGCACTCAAATTTTTTTTTTTTTACTATTGCGGATCGAACATCCAAAATATGGTGACAGTTTCTACAGTTGTGGTAAAAAATGGCGATTTTTATTCGTATAAATACTTTTACCTTTGACGCGGAGCCAAGGGACTTTTGCTTTTGCAATGATGTGGTTTTTTTTTTGTGCCTATCCCTTTTAGAGAAAAGGGTTTACGATATTTTTTTGGTTCGTCAATGTTTATCGGTAATACTGTGTTTCCAGTAGTAGTGTGTTAAAAGGAATATTCCATACAAATTTGGAACTATTTTTAACAAAAAAATACGGAGCGCCGTTATTTTAGTTTGTAAAATATGTAAATTTTTTATTTTAAACGGAAAGGGTTGAATTATTATTTATTTTTGGCCCAATAAAGTGCCATGCAGGTATGGTTTCTGATCTGTAGAGTTGCTGCACGAAGAAATCGGATCAGAGGTTTACAAGACATCACATCGTAGGTACAGACACAAAAAAAATATATATATTAAAATACATCATTGTAAATACAATACATTCTAAGCTCCGCATCGAGGCACAAATTAAACTCAACGTTGCATACACAGTTTACCGTTTTAGCACTGCAACGAAGCTAAAAATATGAAACTTATGTTCGAATTTACATAAGTGTTTTATATTATTAGAAACATATGTATCGGTTTGTTGTTATACAAATAACATTGTCTTTTGCGTCAAACACAAACGAACAGATTATTATTGTTATACCACAAGGAAATAAACATAACATTTTATTTTTTTTTACAGTATATCTAAGTATTTAACATATATATATAAATAAACTTCAGAATTCATTAAATTCAAATTTCTAAAATTAGTGTAAACTGTCTGAAAAATTGAAGAAAACAGTGTTCAATGGTTTGTGACTTTGCGGGCATTTAGGATTTCCAAGTTGTGTTTGTCCAAAACCAGCAGTTAGTTTTTTTAAGAAATTTGCGGTCGGTTTTCTAAAATAATCAACGCAACGACATACTCTTTATTGTGTGTGCATAATATTATACTTTATAAGTTGTTTTGAGTAAATAATTTGTCTTGCCAAAATAACCGTGATTAAATAATACTATTGAACGTATTATTAAATAATTCTAATTTATTATTACAGCTAAAAAAAAAGAAAAAACGTATAACTACCATATGTGTAAACTATAGTTTGTTTAAGTACTCTGCACACCAGCCACGGCATAGTATGACACTCGTACATTTTTAGCCTTAATTAATATTTTTTTACTAGTAGGAATAAAATGAAGGCGAAATATCTAATTGTTATGTGTTTTATATTTATTAATAATTATCAGATGGGAAAAACGGTCGAATTGTCTGTAGAGAAGGCTGAACAGGTAACCAGTTTTGTTGTGATTCTAAATAATTTTTTAATGTATTTTATGAAGTTTCCATAATCATCTAGTTTAAATGCTCAGCTAAATATTCTCAACTCAAAAACAATCCGGGGCAGTATTTTTATTTTACCGAAGAAAAATAAAAATAAAAGATTACAAACGCAATAATTATTTTATCATACTCTCATTGATACTAATTCTTAATGATCTGAAAACACTCCGTTCCCAATATAGGTGCCCCATTTATAATGTCCACTTGTAAACTGAAGTAACTTTTCAGCTATCGCATTGAAACTAAAGCATTATAATACTATAGTTTTCTGTTTAAAATCTGAATCCAATAACCACGTATACAAGTATTTCGGTGTAAGTGGCGCCTAACATTATAAAATACAGTCAAACCGTTGATAGGAAGGAGGGAGTATCGATGGCACAAAAACTCATATTTTAAATGATTCAACACAATAATTTTTTTTATTAATTGACTCGTAAACTAACAATACTGCGTGCTTAATTTTTATTAATTGTCAGTCAGAAGAAACGGAATTTGATCTAAACGAAGCTAGATTTGACGATCTTACCGAAGAGGAAACAGATCAGGTAACCATAATTTTAGCAAAAGTCTAAAACATGAATAATAATAATAATCATGTGTTTTTATTAATATTTTCAAATAGGATAACTACCGTCAAGCGGGCCAACTTGGGGCATTATGGGTAATTTGGGGCATATGTGTAAAAATATATACATTAGAATATAATATATTTGACCGATGCCCCAAATTACCCACAATGCCCCATGTTGGCCCGTTTGACGGTATTTATTCTTATGTTTATGTTCATAAGTAAACAAAAAAAAAACTCGATATTTTATAAACATTTAGTTTATAATATACGTTGT